GGTGGTCAAAATTTTCGGAGCCCTCCACTATGGCGTGTCTCATAATCATATGGTGGCTTTGGGACGTTAAACCCCACAAATCATCATATTTAGTCTAGTCTAGGCCAACACACACTTGCTGATACAAATAATTGAAAAATGGAGAAATAAATACAAAAATGTGCCATATGGAGATGTAATGGGGGTGGATAGATATTGGATTGAAAAAATACAGCATCAGTAATGTAAATGTCATTCAGGTCTGCCACATTGCTACATGTTGAAAATGACTGGTTTGCCTGGTGTTATGTTTAGAAATATTCTGGGAGGGAGTTTTAGGCAGGTGCCTCATTAGCTTTTACGTTTAAAAGTTTGTGTTCATGACTTTTTATGCAACAATCTTCAGTCTACAACCCGCTGTAGCAAAGTACAAAGCGAGATGGCATTGAGCTTCCAACTTTACACACATATATACATGGTGCCCCAGCTATCTTTAGCCAGAGTTGAAAAATATGCCCACACACGCAATTACGACGCGACCAAATGCATGTTGCTGACTGTTGCCTGGAGTTACTTTTTCTTGTGTGTTGCCCTGCTGTGGTGGTCTAGTGGCTAAGGTACTCTCCTACTGCTGACTCGCAGGCTGCGGGATCAAATTCCGGCTGTGGTGGCTGCATTTTCGATAGAGGCGAAAATGCTGCAGGCTCGTGTGCTCAGATTCGGGTACATGTTAAAGAACCCCAGATGGCCAAAATTTCTGGAGTCTTCCACTATGGAGTCTCTCATATGCATATGGTGGTTTTGGGACCCTAAACTCCACATATCAATAAATTATTTTTGTGTTCTAAAATTTTGCTTAATTAGATATGTGTAATTAACTAGCTATCGAAGGAACAAAGATGGATAAAAAATTTCAATGAGAAAGCTGTAGATGGGTTTGCAAAACGTCTGATTGGACAGTTTCTAAGTTTATATCTGTTAATTAGTAGTGTTTTTTTGCAAACTACAAATGCTCACGAAATACAAAAAAATGCTACGTGACAAACGTACTCGCGCGCCAATGTGCACAATGATTCTAGTGCTCTTTAATGATTGACTGATTGATTGATATGTGAGATTTAATGTCCCAAAACCACCATGTGATTATGAGAGACGCCGTAGTGGAGGGCTCCGGAAATTTCGACCACCTAGGGCTCTTTATTGTACACCCAAATCTGAGCACACGGGCCAACAACATTTCCGCCTCCATCGAAAATGCAGCCGCCGCAGCCGTGTACAAAGCTGTGTCCCGTGTACAAATGACCATAGAATTTGCTGGATTGTGCTGTCTCGACAGGGCCGCAATGATAGTGGTGGCTTTGTGATGAACACGTTTCGCTATTGGCCACAAAAACGATAACCGCTGTGACTGCTTATCGCTGTCATAAACCGTAACGGGGGAAGCGTATCGTTCGTACATGGAGCGCTAGGGAGCACCAGAATCACAGTGTGTATAGGCGCGCCAGTGGGTTTGTCACGTGGTATTTTTCTTCATTTTGCGGGCATTTGTAGTTTGCAGAAAAACACTAATAATTAACAAATATAAAGTTCGAAACTGTCCAATCGGACGTTTTGAAAACTGATCTACAATTTTCTCATTGAAATTTTTTATCCATCTTCGTTTCTTCAATAGTTGGTTAATTCAGTAGATCTAATTAAATAATATTTTAGAACACAAAGAAAGTCTGACTAACGCCAGGCAAAGGTCACAAACATGCATTTGGTCGCATCATAATTGCGTGTGTCGGCATATTTTTAAACTCTGGTTAAAGATAGCTGGGGCACCCTGTATATTTTGCAGTTGGCTCCATCAAGTGAATGCAAACAGTATGTGTTGCACCGCCTGAAACACTTGATCTGTGCTGATTAGCTGGTCACAAGTGCTTCATGTGATAACTCAGAATGAAACAGGGCTATGTGGTTCAAGGAACTGCGCTACTACAATGAAATTTTAAACTGAAGCCCCCCTTCCCCATGGTGAAAGATTATCAGACAAGATTTACAGAGGGGAGCTTGCTTGATTGTAGACCAACATTCATGATGACAGCAGAAGAGCCTCTAATAAGAAAGCACACCTGTGCTTTTAGTTCAATACTTTATTGAACATGCATGCATTTACTGTTCTTACTGAACCAAGGGAAATCCTCATGTGAAATTTCAGTTGTTATGTCACGGGGAAAAAGACATGCTTCAAAAGTTCCGATAATTTTGGTAATGCTTTGACTGTTTAACTGTGTTTGCAATCGATTTGTACCTATTTCTTGTGAATAAATTTCATACTTCAATTAGTCACAACTTGGAATGCAACCTCCAGGCACCACACTGTAAAAGTACTGGAAATCATGCACATATCTATGGATTTTACGAACTTTGGTTCTTATAAATCATTGCTGCTGAAGCGTGCAGCAGAAAACAGGTTAGGCAAAAAAAAAAAACTGGTGGTAAGATTGGGGGAGGGGATGGCTTGCTATATTGCCACATTCTTTCCTCAAGTTTTGTGATCACCCCGTTTCACTGTCAGTTTTCTCCGTTTGCCGCTATCAGTGCGATTCTGCTACTGTAACCCGGCTTTCCATTTACCGAGCACAGGTTCGCCCAAATAAACAGTTTAATTTGACAATCCAGTCTTCTGCCTTCAGCTACATCAGGATGTGACAATATCATTGGTGCATATTTCAAGTCTTGCTCGGCATTTTTGTGCTGGTGGCAGCAGTTGGGGCAACATGGTTTCGGGCATTGACGGGTGGCTGACTGCGGCTAACTCTGGCTAGAAATTCCAACAGTGGCAGGTATCACTGACATTGCATTTCATTGTTTTATTGCAATTACATTTCTTTTATGTTCTATGTAGGGCTGTCTTATGTACTTGTGGTGGTAACACAAAAGAGGCCAAGTATTGTATGGTGAGCTCAATAATTGAAACATTGCCTGTACATGGTGTCTTGGGGCAGCGTTGCCAACCTGTTCACTCATGTGTTTGGGATATAATATGCTACCGAGTTTACTGCTGTCAAAGCTTTCTTCCATAGTGTACAGGCAAACATGACAGTCTACTGTGCGTGTAAGTGCAGTGCCAGTTCCAACTTAATTATGAATTGGTTCATTATATAAATCTGTATGGCAGTATTCTCCGCCCCACCCCCCACGGTCACTGGCCTCTGCTCTTTCTATATTTTTTTTTCTAAGCAGTTTGAAGAATTTTATTGCAGTCTAAGCAGTTTGAAGAATTTCATTGCAGTTAACTGCTGCAAAGGCATGCCTAAGAAGGTTCAGAAATAAACTAACATATTGTATAAATTAAAGAAAAGCATTTTTATGATTCTTTGTTATGTGGTGTCATACTGCATCCTTTGATCTCATCATTTCCTGGAAATATAGTAGGATGGCATTAATGTTGCATATTTATCAAGAATTTTACTGGTGTCTTTCTATAAAAGATTGTTTTAATATTTAATACGTAAAAATTATTGGTGATCCATGGCTACTAGCTGCCTTAGGGCAGCAGCAAGCCTTACACTTGCTTTGTAAGTACATCTTACTTTATAAAATTGAATTTGAGTAAATTGCACTAGCATTTGCTGATTACCTGGCAGTGCTGTCGTTGCACTTATGTTCTTAAATTTGAAAGAGTAGATGTTAAGACTGAAAGAGAAACTGTGTTTGTGGAGTGAGTAGTGTTACCACATTGATACATTTTCAGTTTTTTTTAGAACCCTTGAACCTGGTTTTGAAAGTACTTGTAGACTTTTTATACTAAAGTCATAGCCACTAACGGCAGACAGGCAGCAGAACATCAAAAATACGAGTAGTGTCTTGGCAGTGCATTTTCTGCAATGTATAACAGTGAAAATTAAATTTGTAGGTGCCCTGCTTCTATAAGTGCTATGAGAGCAAAAATGCAAATTTCGCAAAGCGCATTAGCTTACAGATCTGGTAAACATGCGGTTGTGTCACAGATAATAGTAGCTGAAATTGTGCAGTAACTTGACACATTGTGCTATATGAGGAAAGCTTCAATTAATTTTCCAGTAGGCCCCTTACATAATTGCAGAGCCCCCTTTTCGACAGGCTAATCGACAGTGTTTTCGACAGGGCACAGTTCAGCTGTGTTACGACAATAAAAATGTAAATGTTTACGTCCTGATTAAGCCATATGTAAGGGGCAAGATCCGGCCGGCTTTCCCAGCCGACACTTCGTCCTTACTTGAATGAAGGCTGGTATCTCTAGTAGTTGGGCAAATGTGCAGCATGGAATACTGCAGCGGTGGCTACACGATTAGAGCCTCCGCTTCCAGTGCAGGAGGTGCCGGGTTTGTTTCCCATTGCCAATTGGGGATCCACTGCTTTTTCCCAGTGGGTCGAGGAGTACACCGACCTGGCACTCAGTTGTTTCTGGGCACTCATCTCTAAAGGTAGCCCCATAAGATTCTGCGAAGGCCCCTGGGTGTAACTTAACCAACCACAGCCTTGCTGAAATAGTTAAGCATCCGCCAGTGTTGAAGACAGAGAATTAATGCTGCCAGGTACCTACTGGTTAAATAAGTACTAGCGCGATTCCAGCCTGATGCTCGACAGGACGAGGTTATAGTCCTTCGGCAGGGCACCCACTCCGTGAGAAATTGGCGGCATGGGACTGCCAGACTGTAAGTGATGGCCACCCTTTTTTTATATTTTTTTTTTTTCAAAATGGGTGTCTCTGTTGGTTTGCAGCTATACCCATTTTCTCCTGTGCATCCGTATGGCAGGAATGACAGTGTCGTCACACTGCTCTGCCATTGGGCAAAGTTTCTGCAACATTTTATGTTATTCGCTTCAGTTTTGCTACGCATTTGCTAGACCCTCTGGAAGGTTATTTTTCATAGTGCTACATCTATGTCCTCAAGCTGTTGATTTGAAATGGTCTTTCTCTCACATCTGAGCTTGTCTTTATATTCAACTAAATTTCACACACTCTCTACTTGTTTCCTCCTTTTTGCTGGCAGCCACAGAACATGCAGCATCACCGAACATCACGAGAGCGTCTGAGCAGTGTCAGCAGCAGTGCAGACACCCGTGATAGAAGGGACAGCGTTGACAGTGCTGCTTTGGCCTCGGGTCGGTCACGGCTACCGTCAGGGCCACAGTCCTCACTTGCCACCGACCAGTCGGCTTCGGAGTCTGAACGGTCCAAGCCATCCTCAGCTAGCAAAGGAAAGACACAGGTTGGAGCTCCACAATGTTTTTTTTTTTTTTTTTTTTTCACCGTTTCATCATGCTGGTTGAGGTCAGGGAAGTGCGTTAAAAATAGAGGTGCAGCCTCTTTACAGTCAAGTTCAATGAATGTGCGTAGAAGCAGAGGACACTGACATGAATATTAATGCATAGCTGGCAATATTTATGATGAAATGTTAAAAAGCCTAGGCTTTAAAACTTGTTCACTGTATTTGCATACGAATTCACTGGGTAATTTTCAGGGTCAATATTTTCTCACCAGTCAACACACTTACAGCAGTGTTGCTTACTCCACTGAACTCTTAAAATTGCAACTGAATTTCCGGCTACTGTTAGATTTGTCTGTGACACAGATCATTCTTACAGCAAGTGTAGTGGAGTTGGCCTACTAGAGCGTTACAATAGTATAAAAGTGAACCATTACCATAAACATTCCACATATTGAAAACTAATGGAATTTGTAGTATTTCTAGGATGTTACTGCTTTGTCTGCAGTATTTTTCAAGCCTTAAAGTTTCTAGATCAGGTAATAGTAGTACTGTGTAGACTGACTTGGAACTGTGTTTGTCTATGGCTGTGTCAAACACATTTCAGGTTGCCAGAGCAGCTTTAGATAAAATTGGAATGGTGCAGGATGGATATAATTTTGTGCCCTTTGAGAATATTCGTGTGTCCATAAAATATAATAACCCCATGCTGCTTTAGCTTTCAGCTTGAACCTCTGGTTATGAAAATTAAGTGCACTTTACAAGAAAGGGTGAATTATAATCCATGAAAGTATTGGTGCTTTCATTTTTGCATGAAACCAGAAACAGGAGTGACCGCCCTGTTTTTGCTTTCTTGCACTCAGACATCAAAGAGGCTATGAACTTTTATATTGTTATTTCAAATGATAAACATTTGTATATATGTACATATAGTTACTTAACGAGTACTGACCATGACTTTTCTGTGTGGTTATTTGTCCGTGTATTTCTAAGAGCAGTTATGGACACATCTTGACATTCCAGAATTTTCTTACTGTTTTCTCTTTGCCTTCAAAGTGTACAGCTACTGCTGAGGCAACTATCACAAAGTATGAATGCTTACCGGTGGCAGTATGTAATAATGTTTTTTCCTTTGGTTTGTTCAGCTGTGTAAAGGTTTAAGTAGTGAGCTTTAACACTTTTTAAGCCACCATCTTTTATTTGAACGTATTTAATCCTTACTAGGTAGGAATGCCTTTAGCATATGTAAGAACATTCACAATAAAAAGTATTTATTATTTTAATCACTCAATGAAATTATTATGTCACTGTCAACTGCATGAGCATGTCATGGCGCACTCGCCAGAAAATTTATAATGGAAGTGATATCACCAAGCACTTATCTGTAAGTAGTTATGAACAAATTTGCTCTTAATAACTTAACTGTGGCAAATTCTTGCTTTAGATCCATTTTGTTTGTTATGCTACTTATATTAATGCAAACAAATGTAAGAAGTTCTTTCCTAAAAAAAAAGATGCAGGAAACTCTGCAACTACAAAACGTGGCAGGGGTGGTGGCTGATTTTTAGCCTTAGCATTCGGAGCATAGAGAAATGCGCTCAAAAGTTTGTTATTGTTGTACGTGCTTTTCTTTTTGCCTGCGTACCCTTGTAAGCAGCCTCGTTTGTACATGCTGTACACTCGGGAGTGTTATTCAAGAGGCAAATATTTCTAGCCCCGGCGCATTTTTGCCTCGCCCTTTTACTTGCCGTACATTGCCATGTTTTTTGTTCTTGTTGTGACAGTGTAATTGGTGCACTAGAGAGAATGGGGAGCCATGGAGGTGGTACTAACTACTGCTACACAGGCACTTAGGTTTCTACCATTGGCAATGCAGCCTTATCTAGAGGGCGAGAGAAGTGGGAGCACGTAACCCAGCGAAATTCAATTGAGGGCACTAATTTTGTTTCTGGTGTTTTTAATTTTTCACCCTGTATTTATTTATTCATTCTTCACTGTATGTAATCTGCTAATAAAAAGTAGGAAATTTATAAGTGTTAAAGGCCCCCTTTTAATGCTTTGGGCTTCAGAGGGTCTTTCTGCTGTGTATTGCTTTGTCTAGCTAAACGTATGGGCCCTTTGGAACACACTGCTGATGGGTAGTTATAAGAGTTTCACGAAGTAAAAATTGTGTGTGAAGCGAGTTGTTCTGCCATGCAAAAGTACAAGATATAACCTTGACTATCATTTTGTACTGATGCTCTGCTGGTGGTGTCGCCTCTGCTTGCATACAGCTGATTCTGTTTATAGCATGACTGAACAGCAGTGTGGTCACTGACAAGGAGTATGCTAGGAGTCATCACTACGTAATAGTGATCTTTAAAATTAAAAGTAACAGCCCAGAGCTTCCTTGTATTATCAAATAATGAGCTGTGATGCATTGTTAGTAGGTAGATTTACGACAAGCATCAAAACAACAAAAAAACTAATGATTTTTTGTTTGTTTCACTGCCATCACACCAGCAAGATTTCCACATAAACGTAGGTAACCCACTGAAATGTCTCTCAGCTCACACATTCCTGAAGCTATAAATTGCCTATCATTGTAGTGGGGGCTTGCGCTTTACTGCAGGAAGGCCTCGTCAAAGCAAGCTGCGTAGTTGATTGGCCTGGTGCGGTGTGAGAAGAAGTGGCACACTTTTTATAATTATGTAAATGACCGCTCTCCATACATTGGCATGTTCATCAGCTATCCCGTGATATGCAGAAAGACCCCTTGGCACAGCGACTCGCCTTATTTCTCCAGTGCACGTAGTTGTACAGAATAGTGGTACTTAGGCCAGTCAAAGTATAAATTTGAAAAAGCTCAAGAGAGATGCGTTTAACACTATGGAATTAAACAGCTGGTGAGCTGCTGGAAGTTTGTCGTCGTTGGAGTGTGAAGGGGTCTTATTCTAGTGTTTTGATGGACCCAGGGACTCGAAGACTTGCATAACACGTTTGTACACATCTGGCGCTGTAAATTATTGAAATAGCCGTTTCACAGGCATTCTGTGTGATACAGGCATGAGGGAAAAAGCTGATCTGCTTTAAATGTGTGCCGTTCTTAATTGGTGAATTGTTTATTCCTTGATATAGTACACTAATTGTAGAAAAATAGGGTACATAAATCGATCACTTTTGACTCTGTCACTGTGCTAGATGCTGCAGGTGTAGCTGATCTGTGTGTATGCCCATGCTCGGTAAGTCGTGTGAGCCTATCTTGAGCTTAGTTGTAGCTGAAGTGAAACTTTGGCATGCCCTTCAGTGTTATACACGACATGATATTGCAGATGGCTTGTCACTTCTGGTATTACATGTTGTCTGTCCAAACCCATGGACAGCCAGCCATGAGGCACTGCTGAGATGTGCCATTGCGGTATGCGTAGGTGGCTGGCAAGAGTTGGCTGGGGGGCATTTTCGGGAAGCTGCTTCCCAAGGGCCCCAATCAAATGATCCTGCCCGATGATAAGGACCCTGATGTACGTGCCTGTTCCGTATTCGGAATGACGTGTGTGTTTTCTTCTTGCCTCACGCATGGCAGGCTTTTGCTTGTGGCTTCCTCTCTTGCACAGCATTTTCTGTTTTCAACAATGTTGATTTGTTGGGCGTTGTTCTTTAGTTATGTATGCACCAGCAGTGTCTTTTGTAGTTGCACTAATTATCTTGTAACTTTGTCAGCCTCACGCCTTGCACAAGGACCTCTAGCAACTTGATTTTGCCATATGTGAATAAAATGCGGCAAAACAGTGAATGATCGGCACAGTGTACACTTAAAACTCTGATCTAACGAAGCTTGATTTCATGAAGTTCCCGATCTAACAAAGAAATTGCCATTCTCGAACAGGTACCCTAAGGATTTAAGGTTGCTGTCAACTCAAATTAACGACAATAACTTAGACAACATATCCAGTTTATTGAAGTTTTACCTAAAATATTCGAGTAAAAGAGTAGTGATGTCAGTCTAATTGTGACACTGAAGTAGCACTGCCACATTAAAAAAACGTCTCCTTAGTCAAAACTTTATATTTTTTAAAGGCTGCAGGCTCCACCGGCACACGGAGCAACACATTTGGCAATTGGTAGCGCGCTTACATCACAGATAATGCAAGGTGCTGCAGTGTTTGCTTGTTATATTTCATGGTTGATAGGACAGACAGTGCTGATCGTCTCCTCACAACTTTCTCATTTGTCCTGCTTGCACAATCATTGCATTTGTTGTTTGTTTCTTTGCTTCATGGGACATTGCCAAGAAATGGGAGGCTTCATGTCTGTGCTGTCATCAAGCTGTCCTTGTGGACTTTACATTGGTGGCGGCATGCTAGAGTGGCAAAAACAATGTCATGGTCGCATATTGGTGTAGCTAGGTTAGTTTTTCCTTTATTTTGAAAGATCAAAAGTCATTTTTTCAGTTTTACAGACTTCCTGCTACAACGAAAAAATTTGACCATGGCCATCACTTTTGTTAAATCAAGTTTGTTCAGCTGTAGGGGATAGAGGATGCATAACCTTTTCATTTTTATTAGCAAGGCATAATTCAAATTTTTTAGCATATAATGTTGATGGCAGCTAAAGTACCATATTTACTGGCATAATAATTGTGCAATTTTTTTTTCTTTGTAAAAGATTAAGAACGTAAACTTGTTGTGGGTTGTTGAGGCCATTATGAGGGCTGGCGGTGTCATCACTGAAGGCATTTTCACAGTCCCAAGAAAGCCATTTCTGATGGTAGAAAAATTGTTCAGCATTGCCCAGTACATTTTAGTCGCGCCTAGTAAACCAAAAATGTTAGTTGAGCAACTGTAGTGCCATAACTGTTTAACTTAGTACAGCCATCAACGGTTAGAATAGGGCTGTCACACTTGGCAAGCAATCACTTTTGACGATATTTTTACAAAATGGTTGTCGGATATGTGGTGTCTCTGAGAGATAACATCCCAACCTGCTGCATTAGCTTGATTGGCACATTGAAAGACCGCCATGTCCCGTGGACAGCCTCATGTCGTGCAGAAATTAAAGTACCTTATAAAGCAATCACCTGCAAATGCGGCCTTTGCATATCCTTCGCCCTAAATGTATCGTTGCACACTAGCCACCAAGCTGTACACGAGGAGTGCTATCACCCCTGCATACCTGCAAAGTCTCCCAGATTGGCCGGCAGGCTCCCGGATTCCAACCATTTTTTTCGGTTGTATAGTTCTCATGAAAATCTCCCGGAAGTCAAAATTTCTGTGCGTGATCTCGCCGCATTGACAAAAAAGCAGCTCAATCTACTCCAGGCTTTTCGGACCTACCCCATTTTATTACAGTCGAAACCCGCAATAACGAAACCCCGCAAGTACGAAATTCCCGTGGCAACGAAATATTGCCGGATCCCCGGCGAACGTTCATAGAAGCCCATGTATTTCGTATCTCGCGGCAACGAAATGTTTTTGGACAGTGATCCTGCATTAACGAATTTTCTACCACAGTGCGGGCCTTATTTTACTCTCCCACCAAAGGTTAACTGTCGAAAATATGCTCGTGTGCGTGTTTGTGCGCACTCAAAATTTGTAAACGTCTGCTTGTGCCGTGCTAGGGTGGGTACCGCCATTTTTGTTTACTTAAATCGCCAATGGGGTCTGTGTCTGGCAACATGCCTGGCCACACTGCAGCAGGCGATGGCAAATGATCATGCTGGAGTGCAGATGGCGCCGTCGAACGAGCTGTACTTCAATTCAGTTCAGTTCCACCGAACTGCACATCCGTTCTGCAGCCGCTCAACCAAGACGTAATTCGGAGCGTCAAGTGCACCTCCTGGGAGAGGTTGATCCAGCGTTTGCTACTCAACCTCCGCCACAAGCGTCCCACCGACGTCAACTTATGCATGGCTTTCGAGATGGTGGCCGCCGCATGAGTTGCAACATTCCCGTTGCTGATTGAGGCTTGAAGCATGTGGGCTTCACCACCATTGTGCAAGCATCACGCACGGATTGCTCTTCGGCCTCACCAGACGAAGATTTAAATGAAGGCGCACTTGACGGCGAGAGTGGTGGCAGTGCAGTGCCTCTATCTCTGACCAACGCCTGGGGGAACTTAGAGCCATCGACATCGGCATCCCAGATAAACTCACCATTGATGCGTTCGTTCGCGCCGATGACAATGTAGTCGTGTACGAGGAAGTGACCGATGAGGCCATTATCGAAAGGGTGCGCGAAGCTGATGACACCGAGGACCAAGAAGAGATGCACGCGAAGAAACCTAACCCGCAGGTTGTTTTGGATGCGCTGGACACCCTTCGCTCCTTTTTCTGCGCACATGGCGACGACGTAGCAATGGACCACTTTTTCCAGTGCGAAGGGAGAGCTTTGAAGTTGTCGGCAAAGTAAGTTGACTGACTTCTGGCAATAAATTTTCGTTCTGCTGGCCGTACCACTGTTTGTATGTCTCATACTCACGGCAACGAAATTCTCGCAAAAACGAAATTTTTCGGTTTCCCCGGCGATTTCGCTATTGCGGGTTTCGACTGTGTAAATAAGTATAAGAGGCATTCATGTAAACGTATAGTATAATGTCAGTGATGCGAAACCGTGGCAGATACGAACTCTTGAAGTTCGCCAGCCAAATTTTACTATGTTCATTGGGCCTCAATTCGAATGCCCCGAACTCACTTTCTAATCGCGGCAGGTGATACGAAATTTAGTACGGAAACCGTCGAACGAAGGCCAAGAGCAGTGTACTCAGAGCTTCAGAAGTACGCGTGCAACCGGCGCACGCACTGTCTTCTACGGTGCGTGTGATTGTCGTTGCCACAACGGCTGTGGACGAAACCGCGGTCACTCTTGACACGATTATGTATGGCGACGACGTAACCGACAGAACCTCGAAAGTGTGTGCTCTACCAGTCAAAGCATCGCTGCTTTCTGCAAACTCTGCGGACAAAACTGCGGAAGATGCTATCGTAGATGGCATAAAATGACTTAGTTTTGAAGGCGTGTGTGCAGCCAAGCGCATGGGGACTGTAAAATAAACTACCGTTTGCCGCAACCGCCCCGCACAAAACCGCGGTCGCGGCGACGCGATACCGATCTACGAGCTCCGAGGGCACGCAGCAGTAAGTTAAAGGCAGTAAATACGTAAAAAAAAGTTAAAGTTTCGCTGCAAGGGCGAAACAATAAATGCGACAGCAACAACTTGGAATCCACTGAGAACGGCAAGCAGATCGAAACGTCCAGCGCGCTGCTCACACACAAATGACGCACAAAAACAATACTCGCAGAATGAGAGGGAACTAACAATGTTTATCGCTCGACATGTTACGCGCTGTTTAAACAAAAACGATGGATGATACGTAATCACAGGTACAGATGAGCACAAACTAACAAGTGTCCCAGTTGTTATACCTCGCTGTGTATGAAAAGCGCACTGTTTTTTGCAAAAGGGGCTCGTGCAGAGACCACGGTGACTTTTGTGGGCTCGGCAACTAACGCTTTCGTTTTGAGTGAAAGCCGAAGGCACACGATTCCCTCACCAAAGGATAAGCGCGTGCACACAGGCATCCATCCATGGGGCAAGGTACACGTCTACGCATCGGGACGAGCTCAGCGCCGAGCGCGGGCGGCTTTTTTTATTTGAGTGTTCATATATACAGATACGTACACATATACTGTGAAAGACGGCGGCGGTGGCGATGGCAAAGAAACAGCCTGGACTCTCCATATAATTGCTATTGCAATAAAAAGGGGCAAGACGCTTTTTGGCGTTCCTGTCAAAAGAAAGTAGTAGTGAACAAAGCTTCAACCTGCGCTTTTACGGCAGCCAGCTGCGCCGTCCCGTCCATTCACGTGTGTCCCAGGAAGACACACGTGAGTTGTTTTGACTGAAATAGATTATGCTAGTTGTACTGATCCTTTTGGACTCTCACCTTAGTGAAAAATACCCTCGTGTGTTCGGTCACTCCTAGCCACTATAAGACTGTAACGCTGATGTTGGCGCTTGTGGTTGAGACCCCCCTCCAACTCCCCTTGGTTTTTCTAGATTTTGTATGTTTGTTTGTTTTTGTCTTAATTATTTGTTCCTTGTTTTGTTTTTGCGCTGCGCACCCCCCCCCACCCCCCTGTTGCTGAAATCCCCCGGATTCAGAATCCTTAAACTTGGCAGGTATGTCCCTGGTAAAGTCATTTGCATCTGACAGTGCATGCGTGTCTCGCGAATGAGCTGTAGTAAGGTTTAACAGGCACCGACGGAGAAGTGGTGCTGTGCTCGTGCAGATTAGGGCAAGCACAGGGGTGCCAGCAGCACCGCCCGGTGGCAAACTTAAGTGGGCACACAAAAAAACGAAGAGTGAGTCATGCGGCACAAACAAGTTTACTGGAGGTGATAGCACCCCACAACACAGCAGCAAACTCCACCAAGGTCTTGTCGACGGATAAAACCATAGTGATAAGAAGGGTTGGTTGGTTGGTTGTTTGTTGGCATTTAACTTCCCAAAACCACCACCATATGATTATGAGAGACGCCATAATGGAGGGCTCGGGGAAATTTCGACCACCTGGTATTCTTTAACCTGCCCCTAAAATCTAAGCATATAGGAATCAAGCATTTTCACCTCCTCCGAAAATGCTGCGGAGGCCGGGCCCGCAATGTGCGGATCAGCCGAGTGCCTTAGCCACCAGACCACCGTGGCGGGTGTTGTAAGGGTGTCATCCACAGAACTGTCATCACTGTATGCGATTATGCTGTTGGCACAAACGGTTGCAAGTATTAAAAAATGGCCAGGTTCACAAACAAAGCTGCATTAAAGGCGTAACGACACAAAATTTTATGGCCGAGATAGCCTGTGGGATCAATTTCCATCAACATACGTATACCATCTGCAAAATGTCAACCGCCAATATAGCTTGCAAGGTATTTTAAATAACCTTTAAAGTTTGCCTTAGTGATCAGCTCCATCGTGCTCTTTACTCCCTCAAAGGGGACCCCCTATTTTCTGCATGTGACCACGCTGCAGTCAAGTTATGACAATGTCATAGCTGCCATTTTTTTCGGTCGCATTTGCTCCAGCAGACTATTGCTCAGCAGCTGCTCACGAGTCCGTAGTGACAGCACATGAGTTGAAAGTTCTTTGTCTCATGCTGTTTCGTTGAAAAAACTTCTTGATGCAAACTGTGTGGAAGTGAGTCACAGTTCTGCGTGCTGACATGGTCGAGCATTGCAGCTGCTAGATGTCTGCGTGCTGACATGGTCGAGCATTGCACCTGCTAGATGGTTGTAGTTGCACCAGTGGCTTGTCATTTCTCAAATCAAAACTCACACTCGTTGGTAATAATGAGTCTAATTAATTATCTGTTGCACACTGTAGAAAATTATGCCCCGTGTTATAACAGGCACCCAGGAACACATGACAGCAAAAAATCACGTGGCCAGAATTTTTGTGTGAGTACCCCTTTAAAGGAAAGCAGCAATATGTGCAAAAAAAAAAATAGAGACAAAGGCTCTGCATTTAGACTTTGGGAAGCATGGAAGCACCTCTGATGATGATGTGAATCCATAACAATGTGACAGCTCTGGGCACCAAACACTGGTCTTGAATACATTAGTTTCACTTACTTCGTGCTCCTAAATTGGAGGACAAGTATACACAAGTGTAGCTTAATGGAATTCTGTACACGAGAGAATCACTGCACTGGACATAGTGGTATTTGTGTTTAGTATTGCAGCATTTTTTTCTAGTTGGGTACATGTCACGCGCCTGCATAGCTTTGCTAACTTGCATGGTATGGAGAAATTGACATTTACCCCATGTCTAACCGTGACATTCCTCAAGGTATATGGCAATTTGTGCACATGAGGAACAGCTTCACATGCACCCCTCTTCGGTAAAAATGCCTACAGTGTCGCTTTACCAAGTATGTGTCGCCTACTGGTCCAAACTTGTACTCTTCTCCTGTAATTACTGTGTACAAAGAAAATTTTGTAATGATGGGGCTATCTCACCAGTGATCTTACGGCGTCTGAAAATGTCCCTGTGCAGATGAGTTTGTCTTGCGTGTAGCAGTGCATTCATGACAGTATCATGATATGTAGGAAAATAATCTGCATGTATGTACGATCAAATAGTCCTAATGAAAGCGTTAGAACCATTTTACATTTGAGGTAACGGGTTGTCATTTACATGAACACTTTCTGTAGCTTGTTAGGAATCATGGATTATTCTGAACGGTCAGTCTAATAATGAAATGTAAATTTTAAAGAATTCAAACATTTCACTACTACACCCACATCTTTCAGACTTGAGAAAGTGGAACACCATATTATACAATTAGTTGCATTGTCATGTAAATTCTGGGATTTTAATGGATTTATTTCTTAAATGCAGTCAGTTTGAAGGTGTAGGCAATTAGCTATTGGTGAATGTTCTTTTTTTTGCATATTTTTAAATCTCTCCCTAGGCTTACTGTATCTTGTGTGAGAGAGTGGGCAGTGCCATGTTAGTTTACTGGACTGGTAAAACTTGGGATTTCTCTGGAGCGAATGCTTGTGTTCACCAGACAGACACCCTTGTGAAAATGTTGCCTTCGTAGACTTTGCTTGTCTGATCACTGTTGACAACTTCACGTACCCATCATTCTGTGTACCTCGTGTGACTTAACAGGAGTGCCTGATCTTACTGAGGTATCAACATCGCAGGTATTTTTTGTAGTGAAGCTATATATGGCCACTGCATTTGGTCTGTTAGGGAGCAGAAACTTCGCTGCCCATTGCTTATCACTGTTCCTCTTAAAATTAAGAAGGGGTTGCGCTGGCTTCAAACACTGATGTACCACTTAAAAATAACTTGACACATGTCATGGCAAGAAAACACTGCTGCTCAAATGGGAAACCTTAAAGAAGCATGCGATAAATTCAAAAGGGACTTTATGGACAGACGCTTCCGAATGTGTGGCAGGGTGTGTGATTGGCTGTGGTTCGAATTCTGTGTCACCTGTGTTGTGATGGAAGGGCTGCGCTGGTCAAGCAGGTGCTTGACCAGCGCAGCCCAGGTGCGCTGGTCAGGTGCTTTACAGGTGCTTGTCATGACTGGTGATACTGTCAGGACTGGCTCCTCGTTTTTTTTTTTTTTAGTCTAGAAGTACAGAAGAGACTCGTTGAATGAAACCTGAAGGGACCTGGAAAATGTGTTGCGCTTAACAGGAGTTTCGTTTACTGAGAGTTCAATAAGGGTGGAGAATCGAACTATGAAACTGATGGTACTGGAGGCAACTGTGCCATTTAAACAGCAGTTTTATATAACAGATTTCTGTTTGCTGACAGTCTACTGTATAGCCAAGTGCCTTTATAACAATGCACTCAGAACCGTCAAAGTACTCTGTTATACAGGCAATTTCGCTGAAACGCTCATCCATTGTATCAGTATCAGTTCAATCAGGTTTAAGGAAACTTTTGTTATCAAGGGGATTTTGTTGTAAAGGCGTTTAACTAGATAATTTGCCCATCTTGTTGTCATTCCTGTGAATTAGCTGTAGCAAGTAACTGCATTTGTATGTACGCCCCACATCAGGCCATATAAGTTTGTAAAAATGTTCTGTGTCTTGTCTATTCTGTCAAGTTACCTGTTTGTCATCATGCATGTATTATTGCTCTAGCTGATTCACCATAGCATGTTGCTTTGACGCTCTTTTTGACGTTGTGTGTAGGTTTACATGCTCTTGCCTTTCACCTTAGCTGTGGCTCTTCAGCCAACTTTCTTCTTTTGCCCGCCTGGCTTGCATGGGTTTTGCTGTGGTGGTGGATGATGGTGGCCTGGAAGCTCCTTCAAGCTCTTTATCGTGCTAACCACTTTCTTGCTGTCCCACATATATTATACTAACAGCGCAAACGCACAAAGTGCACACAAAAAACTGAAGATAACAACTAGGAGCACTCTTATTTTGTCAGCTGCTATCTCTACGTCCTTTGTGAGCTTGCGCTGTTAATGTAATGTACATCTGCATCGGCTCGCCCAATGAACTATGGTTCTACGATCTCACATGCACAGATTGTCTGGGATGAGCAGAAGAAGTGCTGGGTCGACAAGAACGCTGCACCAGGTGAAGCGGAGAGTCGGATGGCAGCTCCACCTTCGGACACAAGTTTTGGGGGTGAGCAGTAGTGCTAATGTTTCATTTTTATTTCCTCATTTCCAGTTCTGATTTTTCTCGGTTCAAGGGTGAGCTTTTCTTTCCATACATCTCATACTGCAACCATGTGCTGTATTCTCTATATATAGTGAGCAACCAAAGAATGCATTTGTAAAAGTACAGGTCGGTCTACTGTTAGAGGGAACACGCGAGCGCGTGGCCTGCGCTCTGCACCGGCTGCCTACAGCACCATCACCCAAAAAGCTAAGGAAAGCACATTCGCTTTCGGCGTCATCTATTGCCAGCCAAGATAACAATTTATGGCCGGTTGACAAGCACTGCTAGATTAAAGTCCCTCACCATTCGCGCAACTAGCAATTTTGGGCGATGCTTGCAGCTTGCACCATGCTCGCACACCACGTTTGATTTGTTGGCAGCAGACTATGCACTGCAGGCATCGCCCTTTATGCGAGTGGAGAGGGAGCGTAATCTAGCGACGCTTGCCCTACCAGCCATGACTCGTTATCGTGTTGGGCAATAGGTGACACCGAAAGCGAACATGTTTTTTTTTAACTGTCTGTTGATGGTACTGTATGCAACCGCCGCAGAGTGCAGGCCATGCGCTTGCATGTTCCCTCTAACAGTGAACCGACCTGTACATAGCTGTGGAACCTAAAAATGAGGTTCTGTAGATGAGCGAGCCATTTTACATTCACTTATTCCCTGGGCATTGTGAAGACGAAATTTAGTATTGTAGAATCTACATACAGTAGATGGCCAGTGTCAATCTCTCCTGGCTTCGTCCTTGGCTGCCAGGAGTCAAAAATAAGGTGGGGTCAAGGAGATGTAATTGTCCTTTCCCTTTCATCTTTTTTCAGGTAAGCCAAGTCCAGTGAGTAGCAAGCCAGGAGAGAACCGCTTTCAGCTGAGCAAGCAGCGCTGTGAGTGTCCTCATATTTTACAGACTTTGTTTAACCTCTGTGGCAAATGAGAAAAGCTAGAAAGTGTCTTTTTTGTAGCCTTCTTGATTTTATGTCTTACTCACATGAGAAGCACATTATATGTCAGTAAGTTTCGTGTGTAAGCAAGGTATGATTGTTGGAATCCTGCTTCTTTTATCCCCTCTGGTAATGTTGTTATTATCTACGATAAAATAGTTTCCATCTACATTGCATTCAGTGTGCTCTGAGGATAATGCAAGTTAGCTATGGTGCAACCAAGTTTGTATATCTGAAGTGATGAGTGTTTAATGCCGTCGATTAATGCCTATGCTTGCCCAGGATCAGAGTACAAGTCTAAATGATCCGATTTTTTAAATTAGCAATGGTCAGACTAGCCAGCTTTTGCATTATTAATATTACAGCATTAAGAGTGTTTAGCCACCTTGGATATGACACTTAAAATATGGATGCTGTCTAGCCAGTATTAGCTCGCATGCACTATATTTTTTGTCTTAAGGCATTGTCTTGTTCTTCAGAAAGAATCGCGAATGCATTCTTGCTTTTCAAAAGAACCGTTGAAGTTCTACATTAGAAACACGATTATCTATGTTCTGTTTCTAAAGATGAGGTACATCTTATGGTAGATTAGTGAGGACCTGGCAAACTATTTCTAACAACAGTAGTAATCATTGGGGTTTTATATCCCATAACCAAGGTATTATTAAGAGAGATGCTGTTCTGGAGGGCTCTAGAAATTTCAACCACAGGAGGGGGGGGGGGGGTGACAAGGGAGCAAGAACTTACGTCGGTATGTTACTGCACGTTGTGACCATGAACACTTTTTCTTTGAAAATGCTGCCCATTTTCAGTCTGGTCACGAGTTCAATGATATGCAGTTGACTCCTATTAATTCGAACATGCTTAGTTCGAACTTCCGGTTAATTCGAACTCGCATTGAGGTCACGTCAAAGCTATGTGTATTTCAATTGGCGAAAACGCCCGGTAATTCGAAGGTGCAAGCACTTGCAACGATTAATGCGAACATGCTGCGCTCCAAAAATGCTTTCTGCGCCTTTCCCAATCCCGCAGCGGCACCTCCAACACCTCAACGCTGCACGCGAAGGAAAGGAAAAGTAAATAAAAGGCTGCGGTGGAATGTTTGCTCTCTCAAATGCCAATCTGCGATGACGCGCCTGTGCCACGCTTCTCCCTTTTCTGCCCCTGCCACATATAGACGTTTTTTTCGTGAGTGCCGCCATCTTGCTAGCGGACAGCCCTTTTCTGGTCTAGCAACCCATTTGGTATGCGGGAAGCTGACTGTTTGCATAGAAGGTAAGCGTGCGGCTGCGGTTTTATCGTTCCTCTTTCGTTTTTACGTGGTGAATTTCGACTAAAGTTATGCAGGTTCTTTAGAAAAGGTGTCTATGAGATGTTCTGACAAGGTTCAAGTCGTTGAGGGCCAATTGCTTTATTATACAGTGCGGCGAACGAGTCTGCCTCTGTTGCAGTATATTCTCAGCACTGACTTTCTGCTTGAGGAATGCACAGTATTTTCAGGTCTTTCTCTTCCAAAATGAGCAATTACACTTCGAGAGCACAGTGAATATTTTCTTGAGTTGTACTCATCCACTTTTTTGAAAACATTTCTTCACTCCACGCCGTCGCATGAAGCCGTGCGTTAGAGTGTAGTGGTTTGTCTTTATTTCGTGGCCCTGACAGTTTTTGTTAACTGCGCACAAACTGTTTTTGAAATTGCTTCTCAACTATGAAGGAATCACCGTATCTTACTAGCTCGTTTGTTTTTACAGGTGTCCACTTGAATACAGCTATTACATCTAATGACGCTGACGTGCCTGTGCATCCCCTTTTTATCTTCGTTTCTTTAATCGGGATATTTGAGTGTACTCTCGGTGCCGCGGTGCTTTGACCGACGATAGAAAGAAATGTTACGGGGGACTGGTAATCGAGTAAATATTGTCATTGTTGGAATAGTTGTATAGGCTGCGTACCTTTCATTCATATATCCGAGGTTGAGCATCGGTGTCGAAGTCTTTGCGGTTCGTTTGCCTGAAAAGTGCTCTGAACATACCCGAGTACTCAAGGAAAGCTCAAATTTTTTTCCTCTTTAAATTTGCAAGTCATAGAAGCCGCTGCTCCTCATCAACAGGAAAACGATACAACTTGAAAAGTCCACAGCCACAAAAACTCCACGTCTGATGATGCACATGGCATATTTCTTTCGACAAAAGTTTCTTTTTCATGTAGTTGTTACTGCACCCAAAAACAGAGCTGTAGTTCCCTGATGATTTTGGCCGTCCTAGCAATAACGAAAAAAAATCCGCAGGTTGGCTCAATTCACGGCAAATCGCTCGATAGCACCACACATACCAGCCTCAATACACACACTCCAAGTCGTCGCCCGCATGCCAGAGAGGAGGAATGCGTTGGTTGCCAGACCGGACCTCCTCACCCGATACAAAAGTCTATAAAGACCCTCCTCCTTCTAACGTCGCTCGTAAAGAGAGAGAAAAAAAAAAAAGAAAGCTGTCACGAATTGTGGCTCTCTCTCACACGGCGGTGCCAGGCTTCCTCCTTTCCCATCCCTGCCACGTAACTCTTCTCCTTTCTACGACACGTGCGAAACGAGCAAAAAAAAAAAAAAAGCTGCCGTGGAGTGTTGGTTTTCTCTCAAATGCCGATATGCTTCTCTCCGCGTGAAGATGCTCCTCTTTTCTCATCATGTGCTGGCCACGCTGCAGCTTTGGCGCAGAGGGTAGTAGCGAAGATGCAGTTGTTGTTGTTGTCTTTAGAGGGTGTTGGCGCTGGTCATTGCCGCGCGCAACTTCTCTTGTCAGGAGAATGCTAACGTCGAAGTAGAGCCCCGCCGCGGTGGTCTAGTGGCTAAGGTACTCGGCTGCTAACCCGCAGGTGGCGGGATCAAATCTTGGATGCGGCGGCTGCATTTCCGATGGAGGCGGAAATGTTGTAGGCCCGTGTTCTCAGATTTGGGTGCACGTTAAAGAACCCCAGGTATTCAAAATTTCTGGCGCCCTCCACTACAGCGTCTCTCATAATCATATGGTGGTTTTGGGACGTTAAACCCCACATATCACTCAATCAACCGAAGTCGAAGTAGACATGCTTTGCAAGCTGTGTGTGGAATTTGTTGACTCGCTGCAAAGCAAACGTGTGCAGTCGCACATCACTGATTACTTCAATTAATGATGGATGTCCTGTGATTTGTGAATAAATGTAGATCTTGTGAAACTTCCCCCTCATGTGTTAACTCAATGCACATGCAGTGCCACTGCATGGGGAGCCCTCCGTTTACTTAGCTTTATTAATTCGAACTTCTTTCAATTTGAACAAATTTCTGGGCCCCTTGAGTTCAAATTATCAAGATTCGACTGTTATTGGATACCATGTGTAATTCTATCACCATAGATTACAGTGCAGGCGGCATACCACGGTGGTCATGGTAACTGTGCATCTCATGATGCTCAAATCAGCCAATGGCTGTGTCCATTTGGTTATGACACCATAAAAATTGAGCCTATGTCATCATTTGACAAGAGAAGAGCAAGTGATTTTGAGCTGACTTTGAAACTTAATTGTTAAATCCATGCCGCAGGCTGTGCTGTAATATTTGGCTCACGTGTTCAGAGGAGCCTTGACTACTAATCGGCAGTAGTCTGACAAAGTTCTGAAAGTGCTCTTAAAGGGCCAGGAAACAGGCTCCAGCTTTTTTTTTTTGACATCCCTTGAACCAGCTTTGCGAATTCGTACGACAGACCGTGGCGATCCCATTTTTCGAATAATACAGCAATGCACGGCACAGAGGTTCCAATTTGAAAAACAATACCCACGTCTGACAAATCCCCTTCGCATACGCAGTGACATAAATGTGCCCATGGTCGACTTGACATGCCACTGAGCGTGTCGATTGGTCCTTTACACTACGAAACAGTGCCTTGACCCTGCGGTGATGCAGTTTCGGGCACGCAGTCCACATTTTTATTTTCTTCTGCTGCCCTCTGCCCTTTTGTAGGGCAGAGGGCGGTATTGCCAGAACGGAAGCCTCGGAGATGAAGAGATGTCTTGCTACTTTACCGCTAGGGGAAGGGTGCCCCTCCCATCTCGCTTTTTCCCCGTGCTACTATGACACGTGCTCATGAAGGGAAAGCCCTGCTTGGTCGGAGCCATTACGACAGGTTGTGCGAACTCCTTTATATGCGCACACGAATATTTGAAACCCGCTGAAGTGGATGTTCCAGCCCCTGTAAATTCTTTATAGCACGAATTCGCAAAATTCTTGTGGCAGCTTGTTCACATAGAAAAAATGTGCATATTTTTTTTCATTACAATTTTTGTACCTCTGGGTTGTTTACTGGCCCTTTATGAATTATACATGTCTGCTGTCATGGCTGCAAGTCGCACTAACACTCGCAGGGCCTGCTTTTATTCTGTTTTTTTTTAGAGAACTGAGCTATCTTTGTCACAGGTACAGAAAATCAAAAGCCCTCAAGCCTAGATAATTGACATGTCACTTGATGTTCCTAATGCTGCACATCGTTGTTGATGAGATAAAAAAAGACACATCCGTTGATTTTTTTCTAAATTTGCTAGTTTGCTTCTGTACTTTATGCCTGTCCAGGAAGCTGGATTGAAGAAGGCCACAGCTCTCTGTGGTTGTTTCATGGTTGTGGGGCTTAGTGAAGCTCCGGTCTGCTTGTTCTGTTGTCTGTCTAAGTGTGTGCAGCAACCATATAGTTTTCATGCTTGTCATGTCACCTGTAGTAACTAGCTATGAGCTACAGGTAGGCTTCAGCTTGCAGTGCAAGCACGACGATGTCTAGAAGGGAAGAAATGGAAGCAGCACGTGGCATTCTCTGTAATAATAGGTCTATTGTAGCAACTCCTCTGAGTATTGAAAAGAACCTGTTAATCTCAAGCACCAGTGCACTTATCCAACTTTGCTTATCAAAATATGTAAAATGGGTGATCGCTGGTCTTTATAAATCATTATATTTTCTTTGCTATACATACCAGCACAATGCTGCGATTCTATATCCTTGTTAGTAGCCTCAGTGAACTTACCCAGATATTTATATTTCCCAAGACAGATGTGTATGCCAAGATCAAAGCAATAAAAATAAACTTAATTTTCAGCATTTTACTTGCATGTCACGAACACATTAAAGTGTGTTAGCACACGGTAGTACATCCTTACATAATCTGCATGGGATAGGTGTGATATATTTGGGGGGGGGGGGGGGGGGTAGAAAATCTTCACAGAGAACTTAAGGTGTGGCATCATACAAAGAAGTAAGCTTTACCATAAATCTTGATACCCATAATCAAGAATAGTAGGAGTAAGTTAAAAGAAAAAACTTAAAGGAACATTCTGGTACAGGCCACTGACACATGGTGCCGCTTAACCCTTCACTGCCGAGTGTCACGAGTTCGCGACATACCGAAAAACTTCGAGCAAGCAAGTCATGAAATGCGAGCAAGCAAGTCATGATGCGAGCAAGCAAGTCATGATGTCAGTGCGCACCCTCGCAGGTGCGCACTGACATCACTCTCTTCCTTACCCGCAGCACGCTCACCGCAGCACCCGTAGCTGCCGGCTTCTCCGCTAGCTGGCAACAAACTTCTCTCTTGCTTCACCCTCTCCACCACCCACAATGCTCAACTACACGTCGAGTTGAAGCACACTTTCGGCTCGTTTATCTGTGATGAAACTTGCACGAAACGCAACCTGCCTCCCGTGTTTTTGCATTTCAAACGAACGTTTACTCAAGTAAATGCTACACCGAGTTTCGCTTCGAACTGTTCTTCCAGCACCTGCGTCGACACCTGTTTCAACCGGGTCAACGCCATGTGCACCGCCTCTGCTTCACATCCCATCAGGGTTCCTTTCGGGGAGATGGTCCATCAATTTTTTGTTGCAAGGTCCTCGTTTCTGTGGCATATGGAGAATTTTCAACATACAATTAAGCATACAATAAAGTTGCATTTTAGATAATTTAACTGCAGAATCATTTAAAGATTGCTATTTAAAGCTGGACAATGAAAACAGCTTTTATTTTGTTCGGTAGTTTCATAAGCCAGGCATTAAAAGTGACACACTTCATTTGACTCCATTCTCTTTATGGTAAAGCTTGTTACGTTAAGCTTGCGTAACATGATTCGTACTAGCATGTCTTACGGAAGGTGCGTTGCATGCAAGATTATCCTTTTTGTTATTTGCAGCTTTGCGGAAGCACTATGTGGATGTGCTGAATCCGAGTAGCAACAAGGCATCCGGTGACTCTCCATCAGCGCCTGCAGTGGCAGCATTTCCAGAACAGTCAGCTGCACAAGCCCCCGTCCAGTACTTTGTTCCCCAGGCTGTGGGTGGTAAGTAGATTAGACTGGACACAATATTGCGGGCTTTCATGATGTTCCTTTGTTAGCCAGGCAAATTTTGTAACCCCACACTGCCTCTACAGCAAATCCCATTGCATGAATCACCAAAGGTGCACATTTTCATAAAACTTTTGCAGTGTTGCTCAGTTTATCAACAGAATGGGGTGTTCTTGTGCCCTCGAATGTATCTCAGTCCTGTGCACCAACCGTACACTAGCGTTTGGGCTAAATCGCATGTTGCGAGCTGTGTGGAACGATTAATTCCAATGTCCATCATATGGCCACTCTCTCTTGTTATGTGCACGTCATCTGGCATGCTAAATCTGCTTCAAACGAGGCCGCAGGACTTCTTCTCATTCTTTTTCTCTGCACAGACCAACATGCCGAAAATTCTGGCTACGACTTTGTGTCGCCTACTCCGTTGCCAGACCAGACTGCACCTGCTCCTCCACCACCTCCAGAAACCGTGCCTGCCTATGTGAGCCTTAATTGGAAAAATCTTGTGTGCATGTTTGGAACAATACATTGAGGGCTTTATGCTGAGAACTTGACATTTGTTTCTAATAGTAATCATTTTTTTGTATTAATCGCTAATCGGCATGTGCAGTCTACAGGGATTGAAGCTTGTACAGCCAACACTCCGTTCTGTGTGACACAACTGCACGCCGAAGAATGTTTCATTTTGATAGTATATAGTTTGCTGAACAGGATATGAGGCTAAATCTAATAATATAACACTCAGGCCACTTATATTGTAGCTGCTTGTAATGCAGGACCAGCTATTGACGCACTCTTTTGTGTCTCTCAATTACCTTTTCGTAAGACTGTGCAGAACACTACTTATTGTGTTTGACACAAATCAGGGTTAAGCTCAGCCATTCTGACAAATACACACTTTCTACTGTTAGGCTGTTCCTGGATCAAGTACCCATGTTTGTGCACAGGTGCTTGAAATTGAAAGTTACATTTTCAATAGACTTGTGTCAATTTTTTGAAGCATTCAGATATTTGAATAAATATTGCTATATTTGAATTCTTTTTTATGTGAATTTAATTTCTTGAAAATTTTTAAATACTTGGAATGAATGAATAAGTGTTATTAGTTTGCATGTAATCCCTGTAAAGGTACTTTCACTGCAGTAGATTGATGCTAAGCTGTAGATTGGTGCTAAAAGAATTATTTAAGTGTATGTCACTGTGCATGTAACCTCCTTTAAAGGTGGTTTCACTGCTGTGAAGCACTAAGTCGAGAAAAGGCCTATCCAGGGCAAATGAGAACTGCTGCAGAGTCAGGAAACGTGGCTATGGCATGTTAGCAGTTAGAGCTGGAAGTGCATACCGCATTTTTCGCGAGCAAGAAAAGTCAACGTGCTGCAAACGCCAGCATTGCTGCTGACCACGTTAGTTATCATAGCTGAAAAACACAAAAACTTTGTTCTGTCTTTAAGTTTTGTTAGTTAAATCGTCCCGGCGATAAATATCCGGTGCTGTGGCCGGATCGATGGACGCGTGCCGTTGTTACTTTATCTTGTAGAATGCGTCTTGCAAGTGAAATGAGAAGTTGCGGCCTTGACTTAACTCTAATTGTGGGGGGGGGGGGGGGGGAGGAAGGAAAGCGGCATAGCGGTGTTCGAAAGTTTCATGGCCTTGCTCCAACCCGTGCAGAATGCTGTTTAAGTCATCTTCACCACAGTACTTTAGTGCATTGAAAAAAAGCATGTTACGATTTTGAAGGGGCTCTTAGCATTAGTCATGAGACGCAGCTCATTTTGTTCATTTACTCATGCGTGTATACGCCGCATAACTGTGAGTACTAGTATGATTGCCAACTTCTGAAAAAAATGTTGCAGGCAAGCATTTGGAGTAGTGTATGACATTGCTTGCGCCTATTAAAAAATTGTGCGCCTTTTTTCTTTTTTTCTCCCACGCTTACTCCTCAGTTTCACTAATCCCCTTATTTCCAAGGTTGCCAGCTTGGCAGATTCACATTTAAATTCACTGAGTCTGTCAAAGTATTTGAAAGATGCAGAGAATGCTAATGTGGATTTATCATTTCTCGCTCAGTGGGGTGGTTAAAATTAGAACTATTATTGAAATAGCAGTGCTTATGTTTACTCTGCACGATTCAGGTGATGTTGAATAGTGTGTATTTCCTCTTTTTTTTTTTTCTAGATGTAAGCCTTCTCTTTTTATACTACTCCAAATTTGGTCTTTTGTGATAAAAAATGATTTTTTTGTTCCGGAACTTACACCAAATTTGCATTCTAGTGCTCCAAAAGTAGACTTTAGCTGCTCCGAAAATTGCTCCAAATTGTCTTTTGGCTGTTGCACCCCTGTATTCGCACAGGCCTCGTTTCAATTTTTAAAAGATATTGTGCAGGTCAGTTGGATCATGACAAATATGCCAGTTTTTTATGATATGTGATATATGGCATTCAAATTCCATTAAAAATTATTCGACGAAAATCACTGTTTGCTTCAAACATAACTATTCTCACAAGCCTAATTTTCGAGGCACTCGATGTTGTTTTATTTTTTTCGTAACCCTTGAATTTCTTGAGCAATCCTGTACAAAATGTGACCTGTTTTCTACAGTAGATGAACACTGATCTGGCACACTTCCCATTATAGAAACATTGCACCGGCGCGAGTGTGCACGTGTTTTGCTTTGCATGAAAATAGAAACCGCACTGGGAACAAAGCAAGAGACGTATAGTGGTACTTGGTGGTGGCGCTTCTCTCGTTTCTACACTTCCTTTTTTATGCCCTGACCTGTTGTATGTTTCACTTCTCCGCCTATAATATATGGTTTTATAGAAGAAGGAGAAATTTATGCAGTAAAAATTCATTAATTAGAAGTCACTGGGACTGTGAGAAATCTTAGGATTAAGCGAGTTTTCGAATTAACGGAACATACAAAAAGTGGGATGCAAAAAACTTGAAAATATTCAAAAGTAATCAGGACTGTTCGTTTGCTGTGCCGGTTAGTTTGCGGCTCCAAGAGTTATGTTGTCCAGAAATACCAGCTGGGTCACAGTTTCGCTGCAAACAAGGGGGAGTGCCTGGCCTCGTTGCTGCTACCGCAAAAAAAAAGAATCTTATATAAAATGCGCGCCTGCAAAAAAGAGACATTTTCACTGCGACACAGTAATGACACGCGGGCAGCATTTTGCCTGCTCCTCGCTGCGTCATCACGTCATGATGCGACCAGTCACTCATTTGTTCTAGTAAAAATAAAGAATTTAATAATGGGCAGTGTTACAAAATTTGCTATGGGTTTTGGCTGGAAAACATGATCATTGGAGCTTTCGAACAGACTTTTTGAAGTAGGTGTTGCAGGCAAAAACTCCACCAGCATGGCAAATACAAAAATTGCTAGAGCAACCGGCACTCAAAGGCTCACATACATTGCGAATTCCACGAAACTGTCTTTTATCGCGTTCTTTATATTCCCCGAAAGAGTGGGTAAATCACGACGCACTGACGTTTCGAGAAGCATGGAACAAGCTGCTTACGCGTGACCGCTGTGTGGCAGTGAAGAATGTCTTGTTTTCTGCATGTGCAGATTTCAGTTGATCAGGCGACAGTTATTTTTTTCTTTTTACAATTTTATTTTTCGAAATTGGCGTGCTTCAGCTGCCACTCATTAGTGCTACCGCTACAGTACATTGCTTAGTGTCTCTTCAGGGCGGTCTTTCCCACTGTTTTGCGGCAAAATTGGGATCTGGAATTCCCACTGCACTCAAAGTTTTCTAATTAACCAGACTTGTGCTTACTGCCGCTTCAAATTATCTGCACAAACTTACATTGCAAAATACGGGACCACAGAAATACCTTGAATTAAGTGGTGTTTCAAAATAACAGAGTTCAAATTAATGAGGTTTTACTGTACTATGTTGTCTGCTGTGTTGGTGTAGCGGTTGCGGTGCTTGGCTGCTGACCCAAACGTCATGGGCTCGATCCTGGCCACGGCAGTCGCATTTCGATGGAGGCGAAATGCTAGAGGCTCAAGTTCTGGGCAGTGCCAGTGCACAATGAAGAACACCTGATAGTCAAAATTTGGGAACTCTCCCATAAGGTGTACCTTATAACTATATCATGGTTTTGGCATATGAAACCCCATATAATATTTTTTACTTATTACTATGTTCCACTGCCCTAGCAAGAGCACGGCTCAGCATATGTGGGTAAGTTGAGATTAGTGGAGTAGAGTAACGCAAAAAGTGGGGAAAAGAAGCACTATGTTGCTGGAAAGCAGTGCCACAGGAGAAGACTGGCACGTTAGAAGGTTGTCCTCAGCAGGACTCCCTGTATGCAAGACCATGTGCTGGTCTGAAAGGCATGCCCGCAGCTAACGCTGCCTTGTGAACTGACCATGGCAGCAGTGCTAACAGATACATCTTGGCACTTTTGGCAAGCCTGTCTGCTGCTGGGGGTTTTGATATGGGCAGATGGCCAATGCAGCAAGACCGAACAGCTGGCGTCCTGGGATGTAAGCAACCTTTTGGGCTCGAGGTCGATGCCATCTTGGCCCTCTTAGGTCACCGCAAGCCAAACAGCACTGCCTTTGCGTCAACAGCCATTTGAGTTCGCCAGATAGAGGCCTGCTACCTTTGCAGCAGTTGAGCTCATCTGTGCTTGTAGATGCATGCAAGCTCTCTCACGGGAAACCAGCTGCTCCCACTACCTGCTGATGCGCCTTTTCTCACTTTCTCTGAACTTACCTCCTCTTAACGTGACTCTGCCTGTCTTTCAAAGAGCAATCTGCCTTTTTCACGATGCCACAGTGCATTCGCCTTTCCGTAGCGGAGAAGTCACGCAACAACTCCTGGTCTCAGAAGCCTTCGTTCTAGCAATGCAAGTCCAAGCCCCTACCTAACCCTACCAAATCGCTAGAGGGCAGCACGGGAAAATGGAAAAGACGGATGGGTGCACGAAATTAGTGATGCTCAATTTGATGTCTGTCAGTGTGGTCAGCCGTTCAGATAATGTCCACTGTGCTTATACCGTTCGAGAATAAATAAAAGAAATGCCTGTATTGGAGCCAGATGCCAAAAGTTGTAACTAATGCTACTGACCATGCTGCTGATGCTTCATGATTAGCACTTGTGCAGTTTATTTTGGTCTTTGTGTCCTCATTGGCGTAATTCCAATCTTTATCCAATTTTATCCGCACCGAAGATCAAAAATGGGAAATGTATGATGACTCTGGCCAATCAAGAAAGTTTTCAAAGGATGTAATTATCAACAAGAGAACTTCAAGCAGTCATAGCTGTCCTTGCCGTTTTGACTTTAAGAGATCACTACTTCGAAAAAGTGGAGATGTCATTTGACATCACCTTTATAGCGAAATCAGTTTACCAAAGACTGCAAAAATTAGAACGAGAGAAATAAACAACATTGCCCAGCTAATGCAAAAAAAGTGTGAATAGCTGCATTAATATTCTTTATTTTTGATGCATCTCACCAATAGTTTTTACATTTTAGTGCATAAAATTATCTATAGTGTATTGGACATTCCTACAGTGAAATATTCTTTCTTGGTATGCTGCTTTGTGTCTTTGAATATCCTTAGACAGGCTCTTGAAAATTGAAAGAATTTGAATTTTTGCTTTTAAAATGTTTACTAACACCGAGTGTCTAACCGTCACAACTATATTTTAGCAACATAGAACCACAGGTCGTAATCTGGCAAAATGAGTCCGTATTATCCAAACTTCATGTTGGGGGAAGGGTGCTGTGCTGTGTGACGATCGTTTCTATTTCGCTCCGCAGGATGGGGCTGGCTAGTTCCGCTGATACACGCTGTATAAATCCAACAGCATCATTATGAAAGACTTCATTCACCAGCAGCAGTTATTAATAAAATGGTAGTGCAAATTATAATTGATGAGCAAGTGCCGTTACAGTAAGTGCAGGGGCACTATGTGGCTCCTGCACAGCAGCAAAGCATTACCCAATATAAAAGAATTTCTACAGGCCTTTGCAGCCACTTCAATCAGCTTGGAACAAGTTTTTTTTTATTTGTGTGAACGGGAAGGCCAACACCCTCTTAAAAAAAAAAAAAAAAAACATGCCTGGAGCGTGAGCCGCAATCTCGCTGCCCTACACTCTGAATGACTTTGCCCTCACCCTCCGGTACAGAGGAGGACACCTCTGGCGGTCGCCCCTTGTAAACGCTCAAATATCTGACAGTCACCTCTGAGCAGCTGTCAAAATAGTCACATGACTAAGCAGTACAATGGCGAGCGCTCTGCCATGGCATCTGGCCGTAAGACGTGGCAGGAGACACGGCCTCTGAGATTTAGCGCTGGCGGGAGGCTCCCGGTGCAAACAAAAGCGATGTTCCTGGCGTAGTTGTTCTAGGACATGTTAAAAAGGCATATCAGCTTAAATGGGGTCACCTATTGGCTACTGGGAGCTGTTGCTCCTGGACAGCTTCCACGGCTCACTGGACGGTAGAGCAGCGCTAAGACACTTATCTCATTAATATTCTAATTTGAGAGTCAAAACTCACCTGCTTGGAACACCAGGACACCTTACTGCGAAAACTAAGGTTGTGATGCCTAACAACGTTACCACAATGAGTGACGAACGTATAACGCAAAATACAAAAACTTTTATTTACATTTAGCTTGAAAAGAAATTGTGATTAGAGATGGGTGAGCACATTCGAGCGATGATGCGATCAGTTTGTGCTGCATTTGTCTGCTGCAACACTTGAACCATTGGCGTGACCAAAGTCCTTTCAGGTTGGCTTGGCTGGAGGCTCGGCCAGAAGCAATGAGTGTTGTCAACCACAATTTGAGTCTACCATGGCTTTAGCACGCTGAGAGCAGCATGGTCATGTCTGTCGTCAGCCTGCGTCAGCACTGCAAAAGTACGCTTTACGTGCCCAATTTGGAAGAAAAATGCTGCTAATTTCGTCCACTACAAGCCAATAGTCCATTGTTTTGTGGTCTATTAGAAGCTAACTTCACTCCATTAATTTAATACACAGACCAAACTTAGGCTGAATAATGGTCTTTTGTATACGAAAGCCCGTTATTATAATTATGCAGGTCTGTTATGATGAGCATAGACTGTATTAGTTCACAGAAAATTATCAAGTGCTCGCTGCCACGGCCAACATTGGTAGCCCTTGACTGGAAACTGAAGAACTAGGCCTCATATTAGCATAGAGACAGTGGGCCAGATAGTGTTCTTTTGGGCAGACTTGAAAGATATCCCACCTTTGTTTTGGCCTTATCTAAGAAATGGTGCTGTTTATTTCTTTTTCATTATAATTTTAGTCAGCTTTGTTAGTGAACAGTAGAAAAATTTATAGTGTCATTACATTGCTCATGATATGCAATTCAAAATTTCATCCTGAGTTATCTCTGAAAGTTCTTTTGCACACTGCTGTATAGGCCTTTGCACTTGTCAGCGTCACTTTTGGCATCACTCGTAAACCGGCATATAGAACACTTATTGTGTGCCGATAAGCAAACTGTGCTCCACCTTTAGAGTTCAATGTTTCATGTATTCTGTGTGGGGACAAAAGGGTTGAATTTCTTGCAGCATCATGGGCACCGGCTGCACATGAAAAAGAGAACAGGTTGCTTGTTTAAGACTCCCTGTCTGGTGCTTACACTCGTAGAAAGAATGATTTGTGGTCTAAGTTTTGTGTTGTCAGTACGGGGCACCGAGGGCATTGACACATTTTTGTCCCTTACGCAGCAACCCACAGCCAAGGCTGTTTCGACGCCGATGATGTTTGATCCCGCGGACTTCTCGTCAGGGGTTGCGGACAGCAGTCGCAACGCAGCTGGTGGTAACATGGCCAGGAGGAGAGCCTACCCTACGTAGCAGATGTCACTTCTATGACTTGGCAGCCATCTTGCGTACCTTTCTTTGCAAATCCTTTTTTTTTTGGGGTCTTTTTTTTTTCCCTACTAGAGGACAGTATTTCTTTTTTCATGTGCTACTTTTTCCAACTCATGGTACAATTTGGGATCTTATTATTTCTGACCTCCTATTGTTTTTCTTCTTTTATGTACTTGCCCTCCCATGGAAGGGTAGTGTTCTGGGACTTTTCTGCCATGTTTTCTGGTAGTAGGTTTATTTCATAAAGTTTGATGAAACCCATGTGGAAATGCTTGAAATTGTGCAGTGTGCATGTTGTATTATGCCACTATGCACTGTCAATGAACATTTACTTTTGTCATAATTATCTTCACATGTGCATTCATGTAGTATTCAAAGACTGCACATGTTGAGACCAAGGCTGGCGGTCCGCTGGTATTAAGTGTGGCACTTAATTTGCTAGAGTGCATCAAAGCTACCTTCATGACGCAAATGAAATTCTTGGTCGCATGTTTCTTCCCACTTTACATGCGACTGAAGCAGCACCAAGTCACTTTTATGCTGCATCAAGGTCCTTCATAGCCTTAGATTGTTTTTTAAGGCCTAGCATGGCAGTTTTGATCCTTACGTGCCGAATAGCTGAGAAATGGTAAATTGTGAGTGCGACAATGCAGTGCTGTAGGTATCATATACCGCATGAGCAAAACATTGCTTTTTCAACACGAGCATGGCATATTCGCTTGATTGCTACTGCAAAAAAATAAGTTTGTTTGCTCCCAATGCATTGCTCAGTAATTGTATGATATTTTGCAATTTTTAACCTGGTTCTAAATGAGATTTCATGAGCTTACCGAAAAGTAACACCAGTGACAGCTTGCTCACTCTGCAAGGGCTCAGAGGTTATGCACAACTTGTGATACCTAGATCACCATCTCTCCTACAATCAAGGTTTAAGTCTATACACAGAGTTATTCTGCCTTTGATTGCCATCAGTCACAATCGCAGCAGGCCTAGCCAAATGGTGGCACGAGTGTTTTGCTATCGTATGTGCCCTGCAGCGAAGATGAAACAAAGCAGAGGCAGTGTTCAATGGACTTATGACAAAAAGAAGAAAAAGAAAGAAATGGTGCTGCTTAGTGCATGGCTGTACAGTGCCACAAGGTCTTGCACGCCGATGATGACCAACTTTTGCCTTAACGATGATGATTAAGATTGCTTTGTGGATCTCTCTTATGAACTGCTTGGTTTTGGTGCAGGATATAGCACTCTGTATCTTATCTCTCCCTAAAGTAGGCAATAGTGTTTGCCACTATCGTTATGGAGATGCTGCTATCATTCCGTTGTGCGCAAAACCTCGGTGATGAGGTGGCGTGCTGTAGTAAATGCTGTTCAAAAGCTTATATTAGTGGTTGGTGATGACCATTTGTGATGCCTTTTTTTGGGAGCTTTCTCCTATTGTTTGTCTGTCTGCTTAAACTTATTATTGTACATAGAAGCAGGCCTTTTATAAACATAGCATATGGCAGAGCTACAGTAGTACGAGTGCTGCGTCAGGCCTGATGACTTGGTCCTGCCCTCATAGCAATTGTAGGTCTCTCTCACTGATGGCCGCGAGTTGGATTGAGACTTTTCTTTCTGCAAATGGCTCTGTGGCTGGCAGTGCCGTTTGTAGAAGAAATGCACTTTCTTTTGAACTAGATAATTTTTAACTTTTTGAAATGATTGTGAAAGGTACTTTATCGGCATTGTTTATGATATTGTGGTGGGTATTTTGGATAGAGCATGGATCTTTTTGTTGTCTATTCTGCATGCAGGCACACAGTTGCGGCAAAATAAAAGCGAAGCCTCTCAGCAATGGCTGCTCTTTTTGTGTGCTTCACCAATAACTCTGCTCAATTTCTTTTGTTTGTATTCAGGTGTGCACATATGTTGGAAAGCACAAATAGGTAATTTAAAGTTGTGCATAATATCAGTCAAGGCGTGGGGCTCAAGAACTGCATAACTGAAAGGCTGGGATTCAGTGATTTCATACCTCAGTGCATTTTCTTTGCTCTTTCTTCATTAGAGCAGAGTTGGGAGCTGCATTGAGCATTGCTAGCATTTGCCAATCGGATTGTGTTTTGAAGTGCAGTGCAATCTAACCGTTGAGTGCCGGTCACTAAGGGACAAGGAAAAAATGCAATCTAGAGAGGAATCACTGTTGAAATGCCGTCCCTGTATCCACCCATATGCACGTGCGGTCTTTAAAATTTCTATGGTGTCCTGAACTGTATATTTCAATTTATGTCTAAGGAATTGCCTTGTGTACGTGATCCCTAGGAATGTTCCAATTTTCTGCGATCTTTCTCAGTGCTTTGATATATATTTGTTTTGTTTTTCACATCTGATGCGCGCATTCGTGCCATGCCTATCGCGCACTTACGGGCATGTCTGCTGCATGAACGCACTGTTTGGGTGGGTTTTGCTTGTTAAAAAGCCAACTAGCATTTGTTTTTTCCTATGCTGGCTGTTCTCTGAGACATGTACGGAATGAATGAAAAAAAAAAAAAAACGATGCTGAAGGAATAAAAGTTTCGGTGAGAACAGTCGTTTTCTCTCAAGTGAATATAACTGAGCTGAAAGGGACACTAAACAGAAATGGGAAGTTGTACTTCAATGGTAGATGATCCTATTGCAATCACAGTTATACCATTCTTGCTGTTAATGCAGCAACAGTGTTGTTCATGTTAACAATAATGGCATAGTCCTGTTTTTAATGTTTTTCATTAGGGGTAGTATTTTTGTGCCTTTTCAAGCACGATTCCAAATCAACTTGCGCAACTTTCTGTTCTCTTGTGTACATGTTTAATGAGCGAAAAAATGGCAAAATACTGAGGGATAGGTGCTGACGCCGCTTCAAATTTTCTGCATCGGGCATTTTAGACATCAAACATGGATACAGCAGCCATGCAGTGACTGTTAACGAATGCAATGATATCTCGTGGTGCCTTCCAGTTTGCTGAGAGCAATGAAACTTGTGACGGCGTTGTTTCAAGGCCAAGTCTGGGCTGGAGAAATTAAGAAAGCAATATTGAATGTTTGATTCAAAATTTTTATACTCATCAGTCTTTTTTTTTTTTGCGCTAAATGGCATGCATTTCTGAAGGTTCCTATTCCAGTCTGACTGAACGTCTAGTTTTACTTCAGTGTCTCTTTAACAGGTTCGCTGCAGCAAGCTTTCTTGAGGTCTCGTTTACATGCGGAGTGAACCCATGGGTAGGCCACTCGGTATATCTTCCAGGTGTGCCGTGAACCCACCAATGGGTCCCGGCATCTAATGCAAAAAAAAATTTCTGATTATTTACAACGTCGTGCAACAAGAATAATGCTTCTGCGCATTTCTTTGGTGGAGTCATTAAAGCAGCAAGCAGATGGATGCTCGTAACATCACGACCGCATATTAGGAGCACACGCGATGACCCACCGGTGACCCATGCCGCAGTGAACGTGTTAAACCTGTTTGGCAAGCACAAGAGGCCATGCTCAATGGTTGACTGTTTGAAAATTGTGTAGGGGTAGAACAATGCTAACTGTCACATAGCCTGGATAGTCGTACAATCGATTGAGAGCAACAAGAACAAAAGAAGCGACTTCTTTTGCCTTCAAGTCGTCTTAGGCAAATGAATAAAAAATATAAGTTTTTTTTTACACTTGGGGTCTGGGTAAAGCACAATAATTTTCAAGTCACCAACGGTTTGCCATGTCTGATTGATAATAAGATGTTAGATGTGAATTGAAAATAACCATTGCTGGCGCATTTTTTAGTTTCTTTTAATTAATGCAGTGTAAATCTGCAAATGCGTGTGTACACATACACACCTTTAATTTGGTGCTTTACAGTGCACATTGCTATTCTATAAATTTAGGCCAGTGAAATCGAGGGTTCCAACTATCACAAAGTTTCCTAAAATTAACTAGAGGGGACTCTGGCGCTGCGATCGTTCAGCGACCATGGGAATGATGGGTAGTACACACATTTGCCTAGTCTTTGTACTTGCAGACGGCGAATCGTACTTGCGGCTTCGTTTATTGCTGTGTTTTGGTTTCGTTTAGAAAGAAAGATTCAACTCTTTTGAACTTCATGACCCAATTTCGAAAGGTAAGTCTAAAGAATAAGATGGTGAAGCGCAACCACTGAAAATTTGCCAATATTTGTTTCGTGAGAAAACAACTTCAAGCCACACGAACACAGGGAGCCAGAAGCATGCCACAAGGACGAATATTAGACAAATGTGTGTACTATTCATTATTCCCATGCTCGCTGAAGCGCCGTGTGTTGCAGATATCATAGACATTAGCGCCAGAGTTCCTTCTAGTGTATATTAGGAAACTCTATGCCAACCATAGGTCGGCAAAAATTGTGGAGCTCACTCATGAAATATATTTTGCACTTAGGGCCCACTCGGACTCAGACTCGCCAAAATTTTCCTGAGCCGGACTCGCTCGTACTTACACTTGCCAAAAATATTTTTCGACCGGACTCGCCGATACCAACGCGTCCTATATTTTATGCAATGCCAGTGCAAATGCGCTCTTTTCAACGTGTGCCGTCGGCCCACCTTAGTTTAGAGAGTGGCCGTGATACGATGCCACATGAGAGGTAGGGGCGCTTGCAACACACGTACGTCCGAGCACTGTCCCACGGAGACACGATAGACTTGTGTCTCTCTACAATATTATACGTCTGTCATACATGTTCTTTTGAGCTCCTTTTTTGTGGCTGGAAGCAATGCCGCCGCCACCTCGCTGCGCTAGTAATGCAGCAGGGTCGCCGTGACGTGTTTCCGTTGGTTGCCCGCATAGCGCCACAAATATTACCGTATTTACTCGAATCTAACGCGCACCTTTTTTCCGGTTAAGCGAGTTCATAAATCACATGCGCGTTAGAATCGTGAACGAAAAAAAATGAGTACGGTCATTTTATTGCCATCGGCATTCCAAAACGGCCGCTTCTATGTGCCTCGACATGGCGCATCAGCCATTTCTGTCTATGTGTTTCCCATGTGCGGCACTTCGTTCGTACGTGTGCTGAGGAGTTCGTCATGTTGGTGTGCATTAGCATCGACGGCATGGAAGGGCCGACTCCAAAAACTCGACGAGTGCACCACGATGCCGCTTTTGAAAGAAAAGTCATCGCGTGTGCCGAAACGGGCGCAAATCGGGCTGCATCGCGGTCGTTCGGAGTTCCCTAAACGTGCTTGCGGGACTGGCGGAAACAAAAGCAGAATATTGTCGACAGCAAAGATTCACGCAAACGCTTCAGTGGACAACAGTACTGAAAGTTGGGCGAGTTGGTACTCATTCATGACTTCTTTGCGCAAACACGTACACGGACACAAGGAAAAAAGGCAAACAACACGGGCGCAAACTCACAACTGGTTTATTTTGAACAACGAACTGTACTTATATCTTCACGTAGCCCACACGCCCCCCCATCGGTGGATCCAGGCACAAACGAGATAACCTAAAGAAAGCTTATTCAGCGCTTTTCATCATTCCCATGGCGCTGCGATCGTTCAGCGACCATGGGAATGATGGGTAGTACACACATTTGCCTAGTCTTTGTACTTGCAGACGGCGAATCGTACTTGCGGCTTCGTTTATTGCTGTGTTTTGGTTTAGTTTTGAAAGAAAGATTCAACCCTTTTGAACTTCATGACCTGATTTCGAAAGGTAAGTCTAAAGAATAAGATGGTCAAGCGCAACCACTGAACATTTGCCAATATTTGTTTCGTGAGAAAACAACTTCAAGCCACACGAACACAGGGAGCCAGAAGCACGCCACAAGGACGAATATTAGACAAATGTGTGTACTATTCATTATTCCCATGCTCGCTGAAGCGCCGTGTGTTGCAGATCTCATAGACACTAGCACCAGAGTTCCTTCTAGTGTATATTAGGAAACTCTATGCCAACCATAGGTCGGCAAAAATTGTGGAGCTCACTCATGAAATATATTTTGCACTTAGGGCCCACTCGGACTCAGACTCGCCAAAATTTTCCTGAGCCGGACTCGCTCGTACTTACACTTGCCAAAAATATTTTTCGACCGGACTCGCCGATACCAATGCGTCCTATATTTTATGCAATGCCAGTGCAAATGCGCTCTTTTCAACGTGTGCCGTCGGCCCACCTTAGTTTAGAGAGTGGCCGTGATACGATGCCACATGAGAGGTAGGGGCGCTTGCAACACACGTACGTCCGAGCACTGTCCCACGGAGACACGATAGACTTGTGTCTCTCTACAATATTATACGTCTGTCATACATGTTCTTTTGAGCTCCTTTTTTGTGGCTGGAAGCAATGCCGCCGCCACCTCGCTGCGCTAGTAATGCAGCAGGGTCGCCGTGACGTGTTTCCGTTGGTTGCCCGCATAGCGCCACAAATATTACCGTATTTACTCGAATCTAACGCGCACCTTTTTTCCGGTTAAGCGAGTTCATAAATCACATGTGCGTTAGAATCGTGAACGAAAAAAAATGAGTACGGTCATTTTATTGCCATCGGCATTCCAAAACGGCCGCTTCTATGTGCCTCGACATGGCGCATCAGCCATTTCTGTCTATGTGTTTCCCATGTGCGGCACTTCGTTCGTACGTGTGCTGAGGAGTTCGTCATGTTGGTGTGCATTAGCATCGACGGCATGGAAGGGCCGACTCCAAAAACTCGACGAGTGCACCACGATGCCGCTTTTGAAAGAAAAGTCATCGCGTGTGCCGAAACGGGCGCAAATCGGGCTGCATCGCGGTCGTTTGGAGTTCCCTAAACGTGCTTGCGGGACTGGCGGAAACAAAAGCAGAATATTGTTGACAGCAAATATTCACGCAAACGCTTCAGTGGACAACAGTACTGAAAGTTGGGCGAGTTGGTACTCATTCATGACTTCTTTGCGCAAACACGTACACGGACACAAGGAAAAAAGGCAAACAACACGGGGCGCAAACTCACAACTGGTTTATTTTGAACAACGAACTGTACTTATATCTTCACGTAGCCCACACGCCCCCCCATCGGTGGATCCAGGCACAAACGAGATAACCTAAAGAAAGCTTATTCAGCGCTTTTCATCATTCCCATGGCGCTGCGATCGTTCAGCGACCATGGGAATGATGGGTAGTACACACATTTGCCTAGTCTTTGTACTTGCAGACGGCGAATCGTACTTGCGGCTTCGTTTATTGCTGTGTTTTGGTTTAGTTTTGAAAGAAAGATTCAACCCTTTTGAACTTCATGACCTGATTTCGAAAGGTAAGTCTAAGAATAAGATGGTCAAGCGCAACCACTGAACATTTGCCAATATTTGTTTCGTGAGAAAACAACTTCAAGCCACACGAACACAGGGAGCCAGAAGCACGCCACAAGGACGACTATTAGACAAATGTGTGTACTATTCATTATTCCCATGCTCGCTGAAGCGCCGTGTGTTGCAGATCTCATAGACACTAGCACCAGAGTTCCTTCTAGTGTATATTAGGAAACTCTATGCCAACCATAGGTCGGCAAAAATTGTGGAGCTCACTCATGAAATATATTTTGCACTTAGGGC